GGCCACATCGCCTGGGGCAAGTGATGAAAGGTTAGGCAATCAAGTTCATGAAGAGACAGCCCCTGCTCCTCTTACTCAGAGAACCACGTGGAGACTGAGCTGTCAATTGGCTACATCTGAGCATGGTGTCTAGGTCCTCTCCACGCACAGTCCTTGGTTGGTGCATCAGTCTCTGCAGGACACCACTGGGCTCAGGATTTTTAGCTTTGTCGGTCTCCTTGTGCGGCCCCTGTTCCCCCAGTGTCCTTCTACTCCTCACCCTCTTCTTCTATCAGACTCCCTGCGCTCTGCCCAAAGTTTGGCTCTGACTCTCAGCATCTAAGTCAATCAGTTGGGTGGGGCTTTACAGAGGACCCTCTATAGTAGGTTCCCACTCTGTTCCCTCTCTTCCACCGCTTCTGGTATCTCTCCTGTTTTCCATTCTGAATGAGATTTAAGCATCCTCCCTAGGGTCCTCCTTATAGTTTAGCTTTTTTAGGTCTGTAGATTTTAGTATTCCAGGTCAACAGGGGAGCTTTCGACAGAAAAAGTACAATATTTGGATAGCTAAAAAGGATTGGGAAGAAAAGAGAAGGAGAGGCCTTACTTTATAGCCCAAAGGGGAGCTGGAGGGAGGGAAAGAGACAGGAAGAGAGGGAAAGAAGGGAAGGAAGGAAGGGACAGGAGGACGGAGAGGCAGGAGGGAAAAAACAGCATCAACAGAGGGACTGAACAGAAGCCAGAGGAGTCTCTTCAGATATCAGCCTTCCGAACAACCAACCTAGCAAACCCAGACAACCCCTCCTGGGAAGTCTCAAAGCAATCCCAAGACAAAAGAACAGTGCTACTTTTTATAGCCATTTAGGGGAACAGCAGAAGGATCCAGTTACCTAGGTTGAGAGCTGGTAAGTTTCAGCACAGACAGCTTCTTTTTATCCTAGGAGAATGGCAAATTGTGGGGAGGAGAGAGCTTGCCTCAAGCTGGAGATCTAGTCTGAAAACTCCAGGTCTCAGCTCTTTAAGGGTTATAATTACATGCTAAAAATATTCTTCTTTGGGTCTTCCCAGGGTATCATTCCTCTTTTCTTCTTGTATACATGAGTTCAAACAATTAGTCAGTGATAAATATCTTTTTCTGTTCTCTCTCTCTCTCTCTCTCTCTCTCTCTCTCTCATTAATTTTGGAAGATTCTCAGCCATTATTTCCTTAACTGTTCTATCTTGTTTTCTCTTTGATTCTCCCATGATTATGACTACTTATGTGTTAAGACATGTACTGTTTAGGTTGTGTTTCATGTTGGTAATTTCTGTGAGAAATATCTTTAGGTTTTCTGATGCTTTCCTGGGCTGTTTGCATCAACTATTTGAAAGCATTCTATTTCTCTATAACTGAACCTTTGATTCCTGGCATTTCCATTTAGTTTTTTCTAATAGTTTTCATCTCTTTGCCAAAATTTCCTCTCTGGCCTTTTTTCTTTTTTTTTTTTTTTTTTTTGTTGTTGTTGTTATTTTTTTTCAAGCCTTTTATCTTTTATTATCAGAATCTTCAAGCAATTAAGGTTATTTTGTGTGTGTTTGTGTGTCCATTTAAGGTTTTTTTTATTATTATTAATTACAATTTATTCTCTTTGTATCCTGGCTATAGCTCTCTCCCTCATCTCTTCCCAGTCCCACCCTCTCTCCCCCTCCCCCTCCTATGTCTCTCCCTAATCCACTGGTAGGGGAGATCCTCCTCCCCTACTATTTGACCCTAGCCTATCAGGTCTCATCATGACTGTCTGGATCCTCTTCCTCTGTTGTCTAGTAAGGCCACCTCTCCAGGGGGGAGGTGACCAAAGAGCAGGCAACCAAGTTCATGACAAAGACTGTCCCTGCTCTCCTTACTAGGGAACCTCCCCATGGATACTGAGATGCTCACGGGCTACATCTGAGCAGGGAGTGTAGGTCCTCTTCATGGATGGTCGTTGGTTGAATCATCAGTCTCTGCAGGCCCGCCTGGGCCTAGAATATTTGGCTCTGTTGGTATCCTTGTGGAGCTCTTGTCCCCTCCAGGTCTTTCTATCTTTCCCTTCTTCCATAAGATTTCCTGCACTCTGCCCAAAGTTTGACTGTGAGTCTCAGCATCTGCTTCTATACTCTGCTGGGTAAAGTCTTTCAGAGGCCCTCTGTGGTAGGCTCCTGTCCTGTTCTCTGTCTTCTCACACTTAGGTTGTCTGTCCTGTTTGCCCTTCTGAATGAGGATTAAGCATCTCCCCTAGAGTCCTCCTTGTTTAGCTTCTTTAGGACTATAGATTTTAGTATGTTTTTTCTATATTATATAGCTAATATCCACTTATAAGTGAGAATATACCATGTGTGTCTTTCTCTTTCTGGGTTACCTCACCCAGTTTGTTCTTTTCCAATTCCTTCCATTTGCCTGAAAATTGCCTGTGTTCCTTGTTCTTAATTGCTGAGTAGTATTCCATAGTGTAAATGTACCACAATTTCTGTATTCATTCCTTGGTTAAGAGATATCTACATTGTTTCTAGATTCTGGCTGTTACGAATAAAGCTGCTACATTTGCTAGTTGAGCAAATGTCCTTGTTGGATGGTTGAGCATATTTCTGATTATTTCAATCCTCAGGAGATTTTTTTAAGGATTCCACTATTTTAATTCTGTATTGCTGATCATCTATTAACTCTTCTGACAGGAATAAATATTTCTGTACATATTTTATGAAAAGTGATCGCTAGGTCTTTACTTGAATTGTTAATTCATTTGAACATCCTTAAATTTCCTCTTATTGAAACAATGTGGCAATTACACTGTATTACAAAATAAAATGTAGATGTGTTAAGATGTACCTCAGGGAAAATTTGACATAATTTTATAATTTTAGGAAGATCACTTAACTACCTAACATCACTTTTTCTGTTTGGTTACAAAATGATCAGTTCTAAAAGGACTTTAATGGCTAATAAGTAGGTATTAATATTCTGGGAAAAGATAAAAATATAGTGGGAGAAAATAAGATAAATTCAGAAACGTATGACTCCCAGCAGTGATTTTAGAGCAATCACCATGTAAACTAAATTTATATAGGCAGACATTAAGCCATACTAATTATATACTAATGGCACAGCATTGTTAGTTAAAATGTAGATGTGTTAAGCTGTACCTTAAGGAGATTTTAACATAATTTTATAATCTTAGGAAGATCACTTAATTATTTAACATCACTTTTCCTGTTTGGTTACAATATGATCACCTCTAAAAGGCGTTATTATTCTGGGAAGGGATAAAAATAGGGTGGGAGAATATAAAAGAAATTCAAAAACGTAGGAATCATTACAAAATGAAGTCCCACCTGCTGTACAGAGCACTAAACACAGGCACAGTAGATTCTGAAATTTCCAGTGAAGAACAAAGTCATTGCAAAACAAAGAGTACAGTTTCCAAAACATTGAAACAATTGAACCAATAGCTCACGAAATGCCTCTGAAGATTTTCCCTAATGCTGCTCATGTGTAAACAGAAGATTTTCTCTAATGATTCTCATGTGTAAACAGAAGACACATATGTTTGACATACATTATAATTTTTAGACAGCATCATGTCTATTGTTGCTTTTTTAGTTTTATTTTTTATATTAATTCCAGTTTATTCACTCTGTATCCCAGGTATCTCTCATTCCCTCCCAATCCTACCCTTCCTTCTATCCACCCTCCCTCCCTCGTCTCCTCCCATTCCTCTCTCCAAAACCACTGATGGGGAGGTCCTCCTTCCCTTCCATCTGACCCTAGCTTATCAGGTCTCACCAAGACCGGCTGCATTGTCTTCCTTTGTGGCCTGGCAAGGCTGCACTCCCCTCAGGGGAAGGTGATCAAAGAGCCAGTCACTGAGTTCATGTCAGAGACAGCCCTGTTCCCCTTGCTAGGATACCTAATGTTTCAGTAAATCCTAGTGTGCCATTCAAGGATCACAACAGAATCCATGCAATATGTAGCTTATAACATCTTGAACATTTAAGTAGCTGAGCAAGAGTTGGAAAAAGCAAGACATGGATACTGTGCATTTCTTCCATGTCTTTTTCTGTAGTCTTACAACCTTTACTTTCTTAAAGATTCAGCAGCAGCCATCCATGGTCTCATCCAACAAAGTTGAAATTTCTTTATATTATTAGAATATACATAACATAAAATTAGTAGCTATACCAAAAAAATCATAGGTTATAGAAAATAAATAAAAAATATGGAAATAATTATCAAAATAACTAAAAACAGTAACATACCTTAGATATATTGATTATTTAAACATTAATTTCAATAGATCAAGGTTTTAATATTCTTGGTAAAATGTGAGGTTGAATACTTTTATTTTTCACATTTGGGAACTCAAAATTATGTTGCAACATTGCTTTTGTATAAACATATTTTTTGTAAGAATAGAGACATTTTATGTTTTTGAAGAAGGAAATAGCTATAAACTTCAACTAGAAATTTGTTGTTGTTGTTCTATGAAAAAAGCCTAATCAAGACTTACACTTAAATCAAGTACTCCTTTATTCTTAGAGGCCAGCAAAGTTGAGGCCATTAGAAGTCCAACATGAAAGTGAGAAATTTTTCTAGGTAGATGGTATCAGTCTCCCAGGATCTTTAGGTACAAAAACTCTCCATAAGGTACCCCACAATGTTACTGCTTAAAACAACTCCATTTTCTGGTACGTCCTCCAAAACAAACTAATTGCAAAAGATGTCCTTGAGTAACAAAAGGAGTTAACTTCCATGTCAAGAAAGTTTAGTCAGAAGTTGGTTAATTACTGAAAAGAGAAGAAAAAAAAATGAATGGGTTGTAGTAACACCCCTGTTGAGCAGTACTAATAGAGGTTAAATAGCAGGGCAAGCTTTCTGTTCAGTGTCTTCCTCATCAGACCAGCAAACCCATTTAAGGTCTATTTCTCTCTCAAAGAGAAATAATTTTAAATATACTGTGTACATTCTGAAAATGATTTCTACTATTCATGCTCACAGGGTCAATCAAAATGAAGCTACTTCTTTGGGCCTGCGTCCTATGTGTTGCTTTTGCAAAGAGGGTAAGTAGCTGGACTCTCAGGACCCATAGCCATGGGTGTAAATGTCAGCTAAGTGTTGGTGAAGAGTCATCCTGGAGACGAAGTGAGTAACCTGCTCGTACAAGTCATCAGAGGCTGTGGGAATAAATGTGGCTGTGTCAAAAATCTTGAAAGGGAATTTTCAAAAGCAAAATAATATGGTTCTGAAACATGAAACAGATCAACAGCATGGAAAGGAGGTGAGTTCAGAGGCAGGAAGATGGAAGGAGAAAGCATTATAGGGAATTACAATCCAATATAGATAATTTTAGCAGGGTTTCTCTGGCAAGAAAATCCCATTGCTGAGATAGCTATGTAGAGAACCAAAGGATATTCAATGGGGCAGAAGTAAATGGACATGATAACATTCAGTGTAATGTGAGTTCTTAAGACTCTAGATCATTATTTTTTAAAATTCAGAATCCCACTATGTAGTTCTTGCTTACCTAGAATTCCTTATAAGGACCAAACTGGTCTCAACTCAAAAGGATTTGACTGTCTTTGCCTCCTGGATGCTGGGACTAAAGGTGTGGGCTCCCATTGCCTGGTCTGAAAACAGTTTTAATTCTAGCAAGTGAGGATGTTAAACTTTCTCTTTGGGAAAGAAATTCTAAGTAATTTCTTTGAATACTAAATAAAATAATTACTGATCAAAATGCTTAGCAAAAATTCTTAGATAGAGTAGAAATTCAGACTACTTGACACTTTTAATTATTATTAGCATTTTGGCTAAATTTCAAAATATTATTATGTTCCTTAAAGGTACCTAAATTAATTTTAAATTCTTAAAATAGTAATGTTGAGTTTTCTACACTAGTTTTTACGCTGTGTGGTGCCTTATCTGGGATGAATTCAGAAGACTAATGAAGTTTCATTAGAAAACAATCTATAGGTCTACAAAAAGTGACATTAGAACACACACACACAGAAACACCAGAATGGCAAAAGAGAAGAGTAAAAACAAAATGTATGACTAAGAGCTGAATAACCTTTTATATGGCAAAGATTTACCTGTATACACAATGTTGCAAAATAAATTCTATTCAGCCAAAGTGAAACTCTCTGTCCAAAACATCAAATGATTATGATGGCAAAGCAATTCAAATCAAACCTGTGACTCATATTCAGGAAAAAATTATGATGAGACCATGCAAATTCTTCAGTAACAGGAAAGTCTGAATGCAAGTGTTCTCAAATAAATAACCACATTAAAATATTTTTCTTTTTTTTTAGAGGCGTTACCCCTTCATTCATAAGGTAAACCTTCCAAATTTTATAAAATTATCTGTTTATCATTAGAGTGTATTTGCAGTTAAAGATCCTCTGTTTCCTTGAGAATGCAATTGACTTTAATCACCATTAAAATATTTGCTTTATTTTCTTCAGATTAGGTGACAAAAATTTATGGAATATAAGTATACTTATTCTGAACATATTTACCAGCAAGCCTTTATTTCTGATGGCCAGAAGCATGAAATGCACTCCTTTTACATTGGGATCAAAGTTTACTAGGTCTTGGTTTTCCTTCTTTGATATTTCTTAATTTGTACTTAAGGAGACAATGATGACATGAGAGATTAGGACAGAAGAAAACCTGAGATGCTGAACAACTACATATTCTGTTAAACATTTTGTGAACGGTTTGTTTTATCTTTTAAAGAGGAAGGTTCCATGTAGCTGGCCTTGGACACGCTGTGTCTCTAAGCATGATCTTAAATTTTGATACTCATGATTACTCCCGAATGTTAGGAGAATATGCATCTACCATCATGTCTGACTGAAGTTCATCTGTGTACAGGAAGCTACAAATAGTCTTGAGTGCATATTCCAAGGAGTGGGGTGATTTCTATGTGGCAAATAGTCATAAATTATTTCATGCAGGAGACAAACATACTTACCAATATTTACTTTTCTTCAGTTCTTTATAATCTTTGCCTCAAATTCTGATGACAAGTGTGTGCTAAGAAAGTTACAAGTGCTCTTGTCCAAAAGCGTGTTACGGATTGATAGGAAAATGTGGTAAAGAAAAACAACAAAAGAAATGGCCTGGGATGTAAAGACTTTTGAAAAAAAATGACTAAACTTATGGCACAGCAATTGAATACCTTTGATAATTTTCAAAACTTTTCAAATGGTATTTTGAATTCTGAGTCTAAGGTTGTGGGTCTCTTTAACCAAAAATAAAAATAATGGACTTTTGTCCTTGTACCTGCGTGAGATATTATTTCTTGTGCATATCTTGTACCATAGGGAATATGAAAAAAAAATGACCCATTGAAAGACTTTAAGATTAGTACTTCTAGGAAATCAATCTAAAATTGGAAAGCAATATTAAATTTTAAATGGAAAGTTTAACTGGCAGCAAATGTAGTATTCCACCCATTTGAAAAAGAAATCTGGTTGCATTTTGTAATAGCAAAAATCCTAATGTCTACAAAATATGTTTGTGTGTGTGTGTATTATATACATAATTGTATTATATACATATATATTATATAATATATAATATGTAATGTGTAATACGTAATAGGTAAGAGGTAATATATATAATTCAAGTAAAAGCTAAAAATACTTCAAAGTCCCTGAAAAAAAATGTGTATCTACAAAGCAGCTATGCTGACAGTCTCATTTCATAGCTAAGTTTTGTAGCAAGCACAAATGATAATATGATGTGGCTATCTGTTGTAAATAAGAAACTAGACATAAAATTGAATCAAAAGTTTTGGCTCTGGTACTCGAAAGTCTCTAAATAGATTGTGAATAAACATTAAGTAGCAGTAAAAACACTGGAACTGGGCAAGCAGTAATGCTTTTGAATATCCATGGTGTGATGTGTACAGGAGGTATGTTCATGTGTTCATAGTGGGCTGTACATGTGTGTGATGGTGTGTCTGTGCACACTGATGTGAAGGACAAAGGTTGATGTGTGCATCTTACTCAGTTGCTCTCTACCTTATGTTTCAAGCCTATGTTTCTCCCCTTATTCAATGACGAGACAAGGTTGGCCAGCCAGCAAACTATAGATATTTTCCTATTTTTATGCCCCACCCTTTCCCCACCCCAAACTAAAATTCTAGATACATGCTTCTGTGTCTGGCTTTAAAAAAAATTCTACATATATAATATTCTTTATTTCTGTTAGTTCTTTGAGAGTTTTGAGATGTGTGTTTTAACAATATTTAGTCCTCTTCCCTCAACTCTATTAAGTCTGGTTTTTATATGGGTGCTGGAGATGAGAAGGCAGGTCTTCATGCTTGTGTGACAGAGACTTTACTGAGCCATCTTCTCATCCCTGTATATCATATTACTTTTTAAATTTTATTTATTTATACATCTCTGTTATTTTTAAAATTTTTCATACAATATATTTTGAACATACTCTTTTTCCTCACCCAAGTCCTCCCAGATTCTCTTCACCTCCATACCTACCCAACTTCAAATTTTCTCTTGTTCAAAAAAACTCAAAAAACCAAAAAAACAGGAAAACAAAACAAGACAAAACCAAGAACACAAAAAAAACTAAACAATAACAAAAGAAAAGCACACACAAAAAAACACAGAGTTTGTTTTGTGTTGATAAAGTACTTCTGAACATGAGGTCTGTCTTGGAGTGTGTCACTCCATTGGAGAAAAACCAGTTTTTCCTTCTCCCAACAGGTATCAATTGCAAGTAGCTTCTTAGATCAGGAGGGACTTTGTATCCACTCCCTCTTCTGTTCAGGTCTTGTTCATGCTGTCACAGTTTCTCTGAATTAATGTGTGGATCAGTCTTCTTGTGTCTGGGGGACACTGTTTCATTGGAGTCATCCACCACCTCTGGCTCTTACATTCTTTCTGCCTCCTCTTCTGAATACACTCCTGATCCTTGAGTAGAGGGATTTGATAAAGACATCTCATTAAAGGCTAAGTGCTCCAAGGTCTCTCACTGTCTCACGCATTGACCAGTTGTGTGAATTGCCACCTGCTGCAAGAAGCAGCTTCTCTGGTGATTGCTGAACAACATGCTGCTCTATGGGCATAGCAGTATCTCATTAGAAGTCATTTAGCAGAACAGCTATAGTGATTTCTCCCTGGAACCATTATCACACTGAGTCTCGGGTTCATTTCCACACTAACATTGTCAAGCTTCCTACCACATTTGAAGAATGTTTACTGAAAGCCAGGCACTGTGGTACATGCCCATGCTCCCAGAATTCAAGAGGCCCAACCGGGAGGATTATCATAACATTAAGATCAGCAAGGGCTATATATCAAGGACCAGGCCTAAGGCCACATAGCAAGATACTATCTCAAAATAATACAAATAAATAAGAAGAAGAGTTATAAGAAAACTGAAAACCAACAACCATCTATGTCTTTTAAAAAAAGAAAATTACAAAATCCTCCTACTGTAAGCAGAGATTTGAAGTTGTTATTTAAATGACATTGTTGTTTCAATGACATCAAGTTTAAAACAAATCATTTTCTTGTTGTTTCAGAAATCACCCTCATCCAGTGAAGAGGTAAAGTGTATTTAGAAGTATGCCAATAAGTAGCTTATACTATTTGTTCTTTGAGTTATCATTTTCCATCAAGTAATGTTAAATAATTCAGCTGTATTATGCTTTTCCTTGAAGGACTAGAGCATTCATTTAGGAATATGTTCACTCATTTTCTTCTCATGGGCCCACTTACGTAAGAATATGCCACCATGTTCATGGTTAGACATCATAGAACTTTTTATCCACACTGGCATCCTGCCCAGGATTGTGCTTGCATATTAGGTTGAGTGAGTTATAATGAAACATAATCTTATAAAGCTTGACATTATAGAAGGTATAGTTGACAAGGAAGGTAGCACTTTAAAAATGTGAAAACTGAATGTATGTTCATGGGGACTCTATCATTAGGAACACCTTGGAATATATCTGAAGGAAATAACTCTGGGCACACATTAAGTATAATTCTTAGAATTATAATTCAGCTGTAGCTATATAAAAGACCAAAATCCTAAGATCCTGGTTTGTAAATCAGGTGTGGTCTTCTTATGAAAACATTTATGAGACAATAATTTAAAAAAAAAAGCAATATATATGCACGAGTAAGAAAAATGTTTGTTTTCTGTGAATTCTTCTATAATCATGGGACCAGAGTTCCCCGGCAGTCTTCCAGAATGGAACAGACAAATCTAGAACAGCAAGAGGGACAGGTGGAGGTCCTACCACAGGAAAATCTGAAATTTGATGATAAACTCATAGCCAAAATCATTTAAAATGCTCATTTTAAAAAGGAATACCACTAAGAAAATGATATGTGAAAAGCTAAGTCTATTCTCCATGTTTTCTGCCTACCCTTCTGATAACAATTCCTTAAAGGAACTGGAGCCAGGAGGAAACGGTAAATCCAGGACATAGGTCACAAAGAGTCCTGTACTTGGGAGTGGAATACGGAAGTGAAGGCTTCAAGAAGGACAGTTTAGAGACAAGGAGGGTGTCAAGTGCAGCAGACAAGGAGAAAGAACACGGTGGATACGAAGCCTGGAAGGAGCTCTCTCACCCCGTGTCAGCCTCCTAAACTGCACTCGTGTTTCTCCCTTCTATGTCCATCCTAGCCTAGGCAGTGTACTCCTCCGTAAAAGGGAGCACTCACTGGCCTAGAGACGAAGTACTTCTCCTTCAGATTTTTATTAGATTTTTTTTCAAACTATTTTCATTTCAATAATTTTGGATACATATTGTGTTTTTTTGTTTTGTTTTGTTTTTAAGACCAAAGGGGTGCTCTTTAAAAAAACATTACTTGTATATGACCACAGTCGTAACAGAAATATTCTATAGCTAGGCCAATAAACAATAAACTACAATGAACTTTCCTTCTATTTAGGATTACTATGGAAATCGCTACCCACTTAATCCATCTCTGAATATCCCATACGGCTTATGGAATGATAATTTGCCGCCTTTTCTTATGCCTCCTCTTGACACTCACCAAGGAAATGCCATCACCAAATTCCAGGGAAATAATCCTGAGCTTGAAAGAGGGCTATCTCCATACCCTTGGTTTCTCACTTCGTCTAAACTTCACTACATATACCAAAACCCTAACTACCCCTCTGATGTTTCACTGAATGCTCCTGCAGCAACTGCTCCTCCTCCTCCGCTCCCTCCTCCTCCGCTCCCTCCTCCTCCACCGCCTCCTCCCAGGCCATATCCCTTTGTCATACCTCCAAAGATTTCTGTTGTCTCACCTGTTGGATCTGAGCCTGCAGCTGGCCCCGCTGCACCTCCTGTAGGCGAGGGTCTGGTGCCCGAGTTCTCTGTAGACAAAGCTATTTCAGGCCTGCCTCCTGCAGTCAAACTTGCACCATCCCCACCACCTGCTGACAACAAGAGTCCTGCACCTGAGCCTCCCCCAGCCCAGTTCAGTGCTCCTGAGCCTGCCCCACCCGGGATAGGTGAGCCTGTTGCAGCCCACCCAATGGGAGCTGAACCTGGTCTGCCCCAGGCTGTGGCTGCAGCCCAGTCTATATCAGGTGAATCTGGCACAGGCCAATCTGCTGAAAACAAACCTGGTTCAGGTGAGCCTGTTGTGGCCCAGTCTCTACAAACTGAGCCTGGGGCAGGCCCTGTTGCTGAAGTCAAGCCTCAGGCATCTGAGTCTCCTGCGGCAGCCCAACCTCCCCCAGCTGAGCCTATCATTAGCCAGTCTATCCTGGGAAAGTTTATGACAGCTGAGCCTACTGAACCGAAAACGGAGGTACCTGAGCCTGTTGAGGCCAAATCTACTGGCCAAGAACCGCAGTCTGTTCTTTTTCACCAGGTAGGTTACCTACTCTCACCACAGCAATGCATGGGCTTTGTAGCAGGGAAAACACACAATTTCTGTAAAAGGAACACGCCAGCTTCAGGTTTAAGAGCTGGTCTTTTAGTGGACAGTAGGTTGGTTGAATTTTCAGGATTTGAGTATTTGAATATATCCACTGAAGTCCCAATGCCCCTTGTTTCCTCTCAGATCTTCTCATATTTCACATCTTTGATATACTTTCTGGTGGGAGCTAGAGATGGCTCGGTGGTTAAGAGCACTTACTCTCTCAATGGACACGGGTTCAATTCCCGGTACCAACACAGAGATTCACATCCACCTGTAACTCTAATTTCAGGGGCTCCAGACCCTCTTCTGGCCTCCACATGCCCAGGCATGCATGTGTAGCATGTGAGTGTGTGTGTGTGTGTGTGTGTTTATGTTTTACATATGTATGAGTATGTGTGTGTGTGTGTGTGTGTGTGTGTGTGTGTGTGTAATGCAGACAAACATTCATACACATATAATAAAAAAGTTTTAAAGTGATTAACTGGACAAATTTACCCTATCATATTGGAAGAATTAAGGTTTTTTTTCCCCCACATCCTATATACACATAACACACACACACATGCACACACATTTCCCCATATCCTATGCACACATAACACACACACATGTACATGCACATGCACAAACATTTAACCTGTCGTGTGTAAATCCTGGAACTCTGTGCAGTCAACATGCTAAAACAGTTACTGGTTCATTTTTTCTGCTTCCTGTATCTTAATAACAACTATTCTTCCGAACATGAAGTTCAAATCAGGAAAAGAAAAAAAAAAAAAAAACTCTTCTCCCCCATAACTATTTAGATTTTCAGACAAGGTCTCATTACGCAACCCAGGCTAACCTGGAACTCACAGAGATCAGCCTTCCTCTACCTCCTGAGTGCTAGGACCTAAGGTCTACACCAACACAGCCTGGAGTCTCTCTCTCAATTTTAAACACGTACTTATTTCAGACAAGAGAGGAAACCCACTTCATTCTATTCACTTTGTCTGGAAGCAAATTTTCCTTACTTATTTAGCATCTCAGAATAGCTAAATGATTTAGAAAAGAAAGCCCTGGTGCTGCCAAATGACGTATATATTTAATCATAAATGAAAATGTCCTTTTTCTTTTTAGGTGGAGAAGTGAGATTTTTTTTCCAGAGAAAAGAGTACTAGTCATTCTGTAAGTCCTGCATGATCTTGAGATGAAGCTATAAATAAGTAAACTAATTTCCTCTGCTAAAACTACCTGTGTGGTGTGTGTGTGTGTGTGTGTGTGTGTGTGTGTGTGTGTGCATGAAAATGAAAAAGTGGGGTGTGGTTGCTGTTTATTTGTGCCTCAGGGTTAAGATATGATGGATTTATGTCCTGTGTAAAATTTTCAGACTGATTTGAGAATAGAAAATTCTTCTTTAAACTGACCCTGACTCAACTATCTTGCAATAATCATCATTAATTTAGGAACAAGCTTCTATAAATGGAAAGGAAACTAAACTATAGTGGAGAAGTGATGTGTGTTAGGGCCCTGTGGCCATTTTGTACGCTCTCAGTCTCCATTGTTATCCACTTCCTACTCCTCCCTCTCACCTCACACACTGTCCTGAAAAATAAAGACACTGGCCACAAGGGTCTCCTTGTGAGCCTCTCCCCACTTCCAACCTAATCAAAAATAAGCAAAATAAGTAAAGAGATTAAACTATTTCCAAATCCTTCTTCCACTCTGTTACCCACCCGAAAACTATTACCAGGTTATGATTATCAATGTTCACTGGACCAGGACGTGGGGAGATGTTATTTTGCCAGCCAAATCAAAACTCTTCTGAGATGCTATCTGTGCCATTTAGCAGTATTCGTGATGCACCACGGTGACAGCCATTCCCAAGGACATTAGACAGCTTCACTTTTCCAAACTTACTTATTTGTCTATTTATTACAGTTAATTCACTGTAATTAATCTCAGCTGTAGTGCCCTCCTTCATCCCTTCCCAATCCTACCCTCCCTCCCTCCCTCTTCTCCTATACCCCTCCCCCAGTACAATAATAGGGGAAGTCCTTTTCCCCTTCCCTCTGACCCTAGCCTATCAGGTCTCATCAGGACTGGCTGCATTGTCTTCTTCTGTGGACTGGTAAGGCTGCTCCTCTTTCAGGGGGAGATAATCAAAGAGCCAGCCACTGACTTCATGTCAGAGACAGTCCCTGTTCCCTTACTAGAAAACTCACTTGGATACTGAGCTGCCATGGGCTACATCTGTGCAGGAGTCTTAGGTTATCTCCATGCATGGTCCTTGGTTGGAGTATCAGTCTTAGAAAAGGCCCCTGTGCCCAGATTTTTTGGTTCTGTTGGTCTCCTTGTGGATCCTGTCCCCTCCAGGTCTTTCTCCTCCTCCTTTTATAAGATTCCCTGCACTCAGCCCAAAGTTTGGCTATGAATCTTAGCATCTGCTTTGATACCCTGCTGGGTAGAGTCTTTCAGAGGCCCTCTGTGGTAGGCTCCTGTCCTGTTTCCTGTTTTCTCCCTCTTCAGATGTCTGTCCCATTTTCCTTTCTGAGTGAGGATTAATCATCTTACCCAGAGTCGTCCTTCTTGCTTAGCTTCTTTAGGTTACAGATTTTAGTATGTTTATCCTATATTATATGTCTAATATCCACTCACAAGTGAGTATATACCATGTGTGTCTTTCTTTTTCTGGGATACATTATTCATGATAATCTTTTCTAGTTCCCACTATTTGCCTGCAAATTTCATGATTTCCTTGTTTTTAATTGCTGAGTAGTACTCCATTGTGTAAATGTGCCACAATTTCTATATCTATTCCTCCATTGAGGGACATCGGGGTTGCTTCCAGCTTGACACCTTCACTTTTTACTTAAACCCAGACCACTGCTAAATTATTTGACTCTTTATATTACTAGTATTTAAGATAAGCGGCCTATTTGTGAGTAATATCAAGATATTAGATACATTTAACAATTTCACACCTTCAGAAGTCTGTATATCAAGTTTATTACATATAAAATACTCAGTCTAAATAAGTAAAGGTGAAACAGGTTACCTTTCTGAAAGTCTAATAAAATGGAGAAAGAATTCTCCTTTGCATTATTCAATATCAAGAGACAGTGTTGATCTAAATTGATAGCTACACAAGCCTATGTTTTGGGATATCTATATACCCATTCGAGTAAACTTTGACTTTGCATTTTAACTAAATTGTTACAAGGATGTTTATTAATGCCTACAAGAATGTGTAATTGTAAAAAATGGTATCCATCCCAATACTTGGGGAGGCAGAGGCAGAGGCAGAGGCAGGCAGATCTGTTTGAGTTCAAGGCCAGGCTTGCCTACAAAGCAAGTCCAGGACAGCCAAAGCTACACAGAGAAACCCTGTCTCAAAAAACCAAGCAAACAAAATACTGCATCTGTAAGCAGACAGAAAGAGAAAACATTAGTTCTTTTAAATGCATACTTTGACATGTATTTTTAGATTATTATATATTATATATAGTCATTATATATATAAAATATATTATATATATATACATGTATTATATAGTCCCATGTCAAACAAACTCATTAGCCGAGAAAAGTGCTTTTGCTTTATGTTTAAGAAATTTGACAATTCATTATACAAAACTGACATATTATCTTATTTTTTACAGATACTGATGAACAAATCAAAAAATCTAAATGTTCGATCTTTTCTCAACAAATAGTTACTATGTTTTATTAAAACTATTCTCATATTGATTGGTTTGTGATGTATTTCTTTAGAGCATATAACAAAATAATATTGATGAAATGCTTTGCTTTCAGTTCAGATTATAAAATATGTACTTCATAGGTATACCTACATAAATTCAAATGAATTTAAACATATGGTAATAGAGAAAGTATTTTTTTTGAAAGTCTCTGGACTGCAAAAAAAAAAAAATACATATTTGTCTTTTGTGTCTAAAAACTTTCTCCTAGAGATCTTTTTGATCACTGACTCCTGACCCACCCACAACCATTTTCTTTGCTTCAAAATGTCATCAACTTTTCTGAATCATGCACTTAATAACAATTCACATTACACTTGTGTCAGGAGCCATTCCATGTACCTTACTAAGATTAAGCCCCTCTAATAATCATACAAATAGATACTGTTCTCATTTTAAATACAATGACTTGCCAACAATTAAAAGCTACACAACATTTTCAGCAAGATGAAAAATACATAAGGAATTATGGACTTTGAATGAAAAGTAAAAAGGAAAGGAAAGGTAAGGAAAAATTAATGTGAATACTGAACAGTGGTTTTAGTAATTTCTTTTGATCGTTGTAACAAATTCCCACAAAGTGCACAGTTTATAAGAAGAGAAGTCTATTTTCTCATGATATCAAGGTCAAAAGTTCTAAATTAATTTTACTAAGTTGAAATCATTGCATTGGCATTGTGTGCCATGGACGGCCCTGGAGCATTTCTTCCAGTACTTGCCTTGGGCTATCATTATTTGGCTTCTAGGCACCTTCGGTTCTTTGATATGCAATCACATGAACCCAGTGGAATAAAAAGGGAAGCTCATAAATACTGGATTGGAGAACAGCAGCCTATCTCAGCACATCTTGTCTTACTAGTTAAAATCTAACCATCAGTCTTCTTCCCACAAATACAGCATGGTCACTTTCTTGCCATGTTGGAAAAAATTCAAGATCCTTAACTGTGTCAGCATAACACTTTCTTGCTCTTGAAAACTGAACGAGAAGGTCAAGTTACTTATCATGATCTCATGATAAGCCTGAAAGAAGATAGCTGTAAAATATTTCCATTTAGAAAGAATTCCAAACAGAAACAGGGAAACCAGTGAGCATGATTTTCCTCTCTGGTAATAAGTACTGTAGCCACGATTTTCTCCAATAATACTAGGTTTTCCATACTTAGACTATCACTTCTGCTTGGAAGGCTGGAGCCGCAGGACTTTGTTACTTTGCAGAGAATAGTGACGTTTATCACAGGATGGGGGCTGGCATAAATAGTTTTAAGAGGGTATAAACATACAGTTAGATTAAAAAGTTCCTGAGACAAAAACTCCAGCTGGATGAGCAGGTATTAATGTAACATATGCTAGAAATTTATGGAAAGAGTATACTGTAAGGGCAGTCACCCCCCAAAAGCAACTATTTAAGGTGATATGAAAATGTCTTTATTTAATAAGGGTAATCTTTTTAATTAATTTATTTTTATGTATGAATTACAGTTTATTCATATTGTATCCCAGCTGTAGCCCCTCCCTTACTCCCTCCCCATCCCTCCCTCCCTCCCTCATCTCCTCCCATGCCCCACTGATAGGGGAGGTCTGCCTCCCCTTTCATCTGAAGGGTAATCTTTTCACTTTGTGTGTATACATGTCTAAGTGTGTGTGTGTATATATATATGTGTGTGTGTGTATATATATATGTTTATGTATGTACATATTTTAAAATATACAAATATACATATGAAACATCACTGTACATTTTGAAAATAGACTTTTTGTCAGTCAACCCCCCAAAAAAGTTTAAAGGGAGAAGAAAACAAAACAAAGACTATCTCAGTCAAGCAGTTAGTATTGTAGATTATAATTAAATATAAAGCCTATCTCTTTAAAGGAGTTAATTAGCTGAGGACACAAATACTCAATGGAGCCCTTTGCATTTGGTCTGGGAGTGTCTTTGACAACTAATTTATTAATGAAAGTCTTCAGGATGCTGATTCACTTGCTTTCAAGTAAGGCTCCTGTCCCAATAATTATAAGGAATGCCCCTTTTCTACAATAACTCTGTTAATCCACGTTGTTCCCTTAATTCACTGGCTTTTCTGACGTCTTTATAGGGACAAAAAAAAAATTACTGTGAATATAACTCCAATAGCCAGATCTTTTCTGCAAGTCACTTTTTTAAACTGAAACTACTCATTTGACCTTCAGGATGTAGTAAGTTAAATGGCCTTTTTCTTATTATTTGGGATGAATCAGAAGCCAGCTTCCTAGTTCTGTTGAGGTCTAAGCCTCTGCCCACCACTTTATTCATATCCACATCTACATGGATATGTAGAGTTCTTGAGGCAGCTTCTTTCCCCACCTCAGCACAGGCAGCTAGTTATAGCTCACATAATATAAAGTGCATTCTCAGCTAAGACGGACTTCCCAGGGTAAGAAAAGGCGAACTAGCCTAGTGGCATTAATCATATCATCCCTAGGAACACAGGTGCAAGGAGAGGCCAAGTTGGAGGCCAGTCAGGGTTACAAAGGAACCCATGACTACCAAGAGAAGCATGGGTGGGGGTGTGAAGGAAGGCGGGCACAGTCACAGGACATGACAAAGAGATGAAAATTATATCAAATTGATTTCTAAAAAAATATCCTGTTTTGAAGTTGAAGTATCACACTTGAAAATGCCTTGGAAGAGAATATGCCACGCATAAATAAATCTTATCTTTTGGGTATGGGTGTTTGCCTGCACATGTCTGTGCCCCACCTGCATGCAGTACCTGAGGTGCCCTGGAAAGGATGACAGAACCCCTGGGACTTAACAGTTGTCACTATGCAGAGATTCAACCCCGGTCCTCTAGAAGAGCAACCAGTGCTCCTAAGGTATTGATTCTCTCCAGGCCTAAATCTATAAATTTTTTTTTTTGAACACTGAAGTTTGGTTTATCTATGGTCAAATGTTAAGAAATTTGAAACTAATTGCAAGAATGTAAGGACCATTTTGGAAAAATCTAAAGTTTAGTGAACCAAGGGTATAAACGACTGCTCACGGTGGTGCACATAGGAAAGGAAAAAAAAAAAAAAAAAAAAAAGGCCTTACAGGAAACACTCTTCTCTGGGAGGAGGTCAGGAAGGATATTTAGAGCAGAGAATGATGAAAGTACTAGCTTTATAATGGTGGATGTAGACAGGGAGTATTCTGGGTTAGAAGAAAAAAAAAATGAGGAGCCCAGTTAGAAAGTTTGGTTGGTCAATGATAACAACTAAATTATAGCAGCTCACGGGCTTATAGCGCAGAGCAAGAGTCTGTTCCTTTAAGAGGCCCCAGCCTGAGAAAAAAGAGAAATATGGGCCTGGAGTCATTATCTTTTTATCTAGGTGTCTAATTTGGTCAACTATTCTTTATTCAAGCATCGCTGGGAACAGTCTGTAAGCCTTCTCTCTCTCTCTCTCTCTCTCTCTCTCTCTCTCTCTCTCTTACTGTGCTAAATTCCGGTAATTCTTCAGTGATCAGTGAGCACCTTGTTCTCTAGCAGTGGATAGAGCCCAAGGTTCATGGAAATGACAGAAAAGAAAAAGAGAGAGAGGGAGAGAAAAGGGGGGGAGAGAAGAGAAAGAAAGAAAGAAAGAAAGAAAGAAAGAAAGAAAGAAAGAAAGA